TTTGCATCTATCCCAAGGGTCCCAATTATTTTGAAAACAAATTGTCGCCCTATGTTAATTGCAACACTATTCCCAATAGAGAAGCTCTGGAAACAACCCACTTTCCAAAATCAGATGATAGGATAAAGAAAGTATGGTATAAAAAGGAGAGAGAGAACAAAAGAGAATGCCCTGCCACAGAGACTGGGTGGGATGGGGGAAATGGGGGCGTGGGAGGGATACTGGGATCATTGGTGGTAGAGAATGGGCACTGGTGGAGGGACGGGTACTCGATCATTGTATAACTGAAACCCAAGCACAAAAATTTGTAAGTCTACAACTGTACCTCATGGTGTTTCACTAATAAAAAATAAAAAAAAGAAAAAAGAAAAATTTGGTATATGTACACAAGGAAATATTACTTAGATATAATGAAAGACAAAGTCATGCAATTTGCCATCATGAGGATGGAACTAGAAGGTATTATGCTGAGTGAAGTTAGTCATAAGGAGAGTGACAGAACAGAATGATCTCTCTCATATATGAGATATAAAGATATGTAGTAAGGGAGCAACAAATTAGCAATGCAACACAACCAAAGAGTTCTAAAGAGCTTACCTGGGAAGTATAAGGGGAAGAGTCCTTGGAATCATCGGTGGAGGGAAGGAAGTGGGTGCTCTGGTGGGAGTACGGTATTGAAATTCTATGTGCACAAAACTAACAAGAGCACTTTGGAAAATTGTGGTGGTTCAATACAAAGAATGAGGGAGGTCGGAGTGATAGCACAGTGGGTAGGGCATTTGCCCTGCACGTGGCCAACCCAGGTTCGATCTCCAGCACTCCATGTTATCCCCCAAGCATCACCAGGAGTAATTCTTGAGTGCAGAACCAGGAATAAGCCTTGAGCATTGTAGGATAACAATGTTTTTTGTCTTTCCTGCATAGACTCAGGTAGTTTAGGTTTATTGGGTTGCTCCCATCACAGTGCTCCCATTCCTCTATGTTTATTTGTAACATCTTTCTTTGTGCTCTGTTAATTTGTAAATATTGCTTTTCTCTTCTCCTTAAGTCCTTTGCATAATTTTTTTCAGAGCAATGTCCTTTCGTATGGACACAAGAAGACAGTATATGCTATGCTTTTGTAATGTGACTCTCAGTGTTATTTTCCTCCTGGGCATCTGTTCTCAGGACCTAAGCCTCAGCTGCCCTTACTTCCTAGCGCCCCCAAAAGCAGGGTCCCGATGAAGGACTGAATGGGACCAGGGCAAGTGGTAAGCTATGTGATACCCTGGCATTAAGATGAGCCTGGCCAAAGTGCCATAATGCTTAACTATAAGTTAAGAGCTTGGTCATGAACAAATGCTGTCATGATCCAAAAAGTAATAACTAGATTCAGACCCTGCTAGGGCTAGGAAAGATTAATCTGGCCTGAACTCTGTAGTCTGAGTCTGTGGCAAGACATTACTAGGAAAGCTGCCCTACAAGCCTCAATGTATCTCTTACTGTGTCCATACAAAAATAACTAGTATTAAGATGTTGATAGAGTTATTGGACTGAGGAAAGGAGAAAAACACCTTAAGACATAGTTTGCCCTTGGGCAGTAAGGAAGAGCTTTGGAATACCTCTTATGTGGTGTTTCCTTTGAACCTGGTGGGCCCTCAGGAAGGGGTTTCTTATGTTGATTTTGCTACCAGACTGGGTGTAGCGTGGCCTCAGAGGGCAAGGAGGAGAGTGACAAGAGAGCTGGAGTGGGGGAGAGAGCTGGAGAGAGTGAGAAAGAGCAGGGCAGCATGATGGAGTGTGGAGAGACTAGCAAGGGGGACAGAGAGAGAATGATGTAGAAGAAGAATACAGGAGCAGGATGTGGAGAGAGAGAGCCTAGGCTGTGAGATGGAGCGCAGAGAGATGAGTGGGAGAGAGAGGAGGAGACAGGAATGAGGGGCAGTGTGAGACGAGAATGGGGGGCTCAGAGAGACTGGGGCAGGTGTGTGGGGAGAATGGAATAAACGGCATCTGATCAACCAGCCGGCTTGGCACTCTTGTTTCATCCACCGTCTGCCCCATGGCCCGGGCTGCCCTGGGTGGGTGAGTAGCCCAGGGCTCCCCGACCAGGGGCAGCTAGGGGCAAAGCCGTGTATTATACAGAGCATCACCAGGTGTGACCCCAAAGACCAATTAATAATAATAATAATAACAACAACGAGGGAGATTTGGTGCAGACAAAAGATTAAAAGGTCATGCAATCAATGAGGCAGTGATGAAAGTGAGGTGACCATAAACTGAAGAGCATTGGTGGCCAGTAGAGGCTGGAAGAGGGGAGAAACAGATTCTCCCTTAAAGACTCTGGAGGGAATATTGTCCTATTATTACCTTAATTCCCAGTGAAAATAACTTTGTGTCTCTAGTTTTCAGAATATTTAAAGAATAATTTACTGGGAAATATCAAGGAAATTTGTTACAGAAATTTCTATAGGAAATCGATACACACGGACATATCTCTAGTCTCAGTTGGGTTGATGGGACAGAGAAATCAAACCTGGGTTGGCCGAGTGCAAGGCAAAAGATCTACCCACTGTGCTATTGCTCCAGCCCTAAGGACACAATACTGTACATAAATTCAGGCACTGTGTAGAAGAGGGAAAGAGAAGATAGGAGAAGAGGAAGAAAAGCAGAAAAAGCAGAGCTAGGCAGATAGCGGAGGGTAATAGCAAACAGTGTTGCTTTAGAGGACATGAAGGTTCTGTTTCTGTGGCTACTGAAGCCCACAGTGATAAACTGACATAATTTGTTGAATAAAAGAGCTCCAAGTAATGACCTTTGTGTGTATATTTATTAGTGTTACATACATCTTCCAGAAGCGAGTGTTGGTTGGTATAGCCACTGTAACACAACAATGCAGTCTCTGAGGGTCAAGGGTAGATGTAATGAAGGGTCTGAACAGGATTTTCACAATTGGAGGGTGATTCAAGAAGTTGGAATCTGACAGACTACAAGGTTTCAGCATATAGAATCAGGGTCATGGATTAATAATACAGAGGATCTCCAGCACAGATTGTTTTTCAGTTCTTATAATATAGAGGAAGAAACTGGGGCACAAAGAGCTTATGTCACTCTCCTTTCATGGGTGATAGATTCCACAAAATCTGAACCCAGATAGTTGGTTGTAAGGCTCATGCTTATAATAGACAAATGTCTTATAACAGACAAATGTCTTACTTATTCTTGGCTACTTTAATCCTTATTTTGAAATGATTTTATACTTATAAAAATGTTGTCCAACACCCCTCCCCCATAAAGTGTCCTTATGTCCTTGATCCTACTTAATCAGATGCCACATTTTAGGAATTATAATACAACAGTGGAAACTAGGATGTTAATGTTTATACCATACTCCTAGCTAATCATCTTTTTTTTGTCTTTGTTTTATCTTTATTTTTTAAATTTTTATTGGTGAAACACCATGAGGTACAGTTGTAGATCCACAAATTTTTGTGCTTGGGTCTCGACTATACAATGATCAAACACCCATCCCTCCACCAGTGCCCATTTCCACCACCGTGGATATTATCCCTCCCACCCCCATCCTCCCCATCCCACCCTGCCTCTGTGGCAGGGCATTCCCTTTTGTTCTCTTTCTCCTTTTGGGTGTTGTGGTCTGCAAAAGAGGCATTGAGTGGCAAACATGTTCAGTCCATAGTCTACTTTCAACATGCATCTCCCCTCCTGGGAGGATCCTCCAAACACCCCTTATTTGGTGCTCCCTTCTCTATCTGAGCTGTCCTTTCCCATCTAGCTAATCATCTTATCTTTCACACATTTTATGTTTTGCCACTAACATGCTTTTTTTTTTTTCCACTTGTTGGGTCACACCCGGCAATGTGCAGGAGTTACTCCTGGTTCATGCACTCAGGAATTACTCCTGGCGGTGCTTGGGGGACCATATGGGATGCTGGGAATCAAACCTGGGTCGGCCGCGTACAAGGCAAATGCCCTACCCGCTGTGCTATTGCTCTAGCCCCTAACATGCTTTTTATTGGAGGAGAAAACTACTTTAACATTTTCAAAATAGGATGCTTTTATGAACTTCTGAGTGCAGATAATAAGATTCGGGACATGTCTTCCACAACTTTGGAATTTTGGCATTCTAGAGCTGGAGTGATAGCACAGCGGGTAGGGCGTTTGCCCTGCACGTGGATGACCTGGGTTCGATTCCTCCATCCCTCTGGGAGAGCCCAGCAAGCTACCAGGAGTATCCTGCCCACACGGCAGAGCCTGGCAAGCTCTCTGTGGCGTATTCGATATGCCAAAAACAGTCACAGCAAGTCTCACAATGGAGACGTTACTGGTGCCTGGTAGAGCAAATCTATGAACAACAGGAGAACAGTGCTACAGTGCTACAATATCTTCATCTGAAAGAGTCTGAGCAAACAGAAGCAGCAGTAAATTCACTCTAATGTCCACTGTCACCATTTTACCATTCTTCCCTGAAATCAACAGAGAAATCTCTCCCCTGAAATTTCCCTCCCTGTACCAGGAGGAAGGTTGATACCCTTATCACCATAGATAAGAGATTAGGATTGAAAGGGATTAAAAGGATTAAATCATCCTTTCTTCAACATGTATTATCCACAGCCTAAACTCCTTTGTTTTTGTGAATTCTATTGAAGGTTATTGTTTATTTTAAAATGTTTAAGAGCTTTCATGTTCTAGTCACTTTTTAAAATATTTGTTCTCTTGTCTAGGCAAGAAAAGAAAATGTTAAAATTCAATAAAATTTGCATGTTTTGCTCCTTTAGTCTGTCTTATCTTCTATTAAATTCTGTTAAATTCTATTAAATTTTAAGGCTAGCCCAAGAATGAAGGAGGGCAGAAAAGAAGGAGGGCATAACCTAATCTTTCAGGGAGCTGCAGGATTGATTTCTGTGTAAAGGCTTAAGCTTATTCCTCTCTTACAGGAAGCTGGCATTACCTCACAAAGCCCACTGGGGTTACATCAAGAGAACTAGAGTTAGTGCAGGACCTGCAGGTACAGTGACCAGGAGATGCAGGCTGGTAAAGACAACCTGTCTCTAACAGGATTCCTCAACAGGGACAAGTTGATGACTGGGTCAGAAAATTAGAATCAAAGGTATGTAAACAGAATGTGCTGCACATTGTTCCATATCCCTGATTCCTTATAACATGACAAGATGTAGACCACCATCAGCTCTGTCTTTTCTTTCACCTGTGGAGCAGCCAGTTTACCCCAGAGTTAAGCAGCCAAAGGAGGAGACGAGCCATGGGGGAATCTAACGCTCAGATTGGAACCAGGCAAAGTCTAGCTGCCTTGTCACCATTGCCCTTTTGCTCTCTGGCCATGTCAGGACTCTCCCTATTTACATAGGGGTCCCAGCTCTCTCTGCCTTGCCAGGGCCTTCTGGGCTCAACTGTGTGATTGGCAGAGACACCTCTGCTTTATAGCAGCCTTACAGTGTTCTTGGTCCCTAGTTCACTCTTGCTGACAGCTGCTTTTCCTACAATCTAATAGCATTCACTCTTTTGGAGAGGAACAAAATCAGCACACTGCTAAGAACTGCTCTAGTTCTGTAAGTGTAGGGCAGGTGTAGGATAACATTGGTTTGTTCTCTCTCCCTTGCTGCAGGGAGCTTAGGTTTATCGGGTTACACCCATCACAGTGCTCCTGAGGTACTCCCATTTTTTTGTGTTTATCTTTAACCCCTTCTCTATGCTCTGCTTCCCCTATCGGTTAATCACTTATATCCCCAAATCAGACCGTGTGACTTGTAAGGTCAGAACCATCTAAGGACTCTGGATTTTGTATTTGTAAACGAAATATTGCTTTTCTCTTTCCCTTATGTCCTTTGCATAGTTTACTTTAGAGCAATGTCCTTTTTGTATAGACAAAGGAAGACAATTAATGCTATGCTTTTGTAACTTGGGAGTTAATTGACTTCGAATTAATATTTACTCCTGGGCGTCTGTCATATTTACTTGACTTAAACCTCAGTTGCCCTTAGTTCCTAGCACCCCAAAAGCAGGATCCTGACAAAGGGACTGGATGGACCCAGAGCAAGCTGTAAGCTACCCTGGCATCGAATGGGACAGGCCAAGTACCATAAAACTTATAATAAGTTAAGAGCATTGTTGTGGAAGAATACTGTCATGACGCAAGGAGAAGTGATTGGACAAGGACCCTATAGGGATTAGGAAGGAGTAATCTGGCATTAGGACTGTAGTCTGGGATCTATAACAGGAGAGGCACACTATAAGCTTAATATGTTTCTTACTGTGTCTATACAAAATGACTAGAAAGATTATTAAGATGCATATTTAAGATGATTGTTTATGATCTAAAAAAAGAGATGGATGTCGTTAGATAAAATTCTGCCCTTCAATGGAGATCTTTGTCTTAGAAGGTTTCCCTCAAAGGAAGAAAAGAGTTTTACATATGTTGATTATGCTATCTGACCTATGCGTAGTTGCTACCCTCAACTGTTGTAGATAAGACTGTGAGAATGAGTGGGTGCAGGGAGACTAGCATGAGGGAGAGGAGGAATATGGGAGTGAGTGAGACTGGAAGGATGCAGAGGGAAACTAGATTGGAATATACTGCAACTGGTCACCAACCAGCATGGTGGCCCTGTTCCTTCCTTCATGTGTCTCTTGGCAGCGGCTACAGGCTGGGGTGGGAAAGGGGCCCATGGCCACCAAATGCCCATGGCAAGAGAGAGTCCACAATGCACACTTATTATTGAATACACAAGCAGGCATGAACAAGAATGCAAGTTCTCACTATTTGTCTGGATCCATCTTCAGGGTCCATTGTTTTGCCTAAGATAAGGACTCATACCCATCCTGCACCCTCAAATGTGCTACCAGTCATACACACCTACAGGATAAAGGCTTTATGTTATTGTTGGACAAGTGTCTAACCTAATATTTTCATCATATGCCCCACACAAGTCTTCCCTGAATACGGTGAATGTTCACCCATTTATCTAACACAGTAGTTACCATTCATGACACTGAAAGAGAATATTCTGGAGGTATCATGCTAAGTGTGAGGGCAGGGAGATGCTTTGCCTACCTGGGCAGGTGTTCTGAAATTACACTTGATGAATCACTGGAGCATAAGCTGGAAGTAACAAATGTGTGGAAAAGGAACTGATTTGAGAGTGGGTTGGGTAGCCACATAAGGAAATTTCCCTGGTTGTGCCCAGGAAAATTATAAGTAGGATCTTGAAACAATGAGACTTGGGTTCCAATCTGTGTTTAAATATAGCAGGCAGTCTTGCGCAAGATCTCCACTTTCTTCTTATACCATGGTCATTACTAGATTCTACTTCCTTCTCATTTCTTGGGTAAGACCAGATCCTACTTGAGCTGAAACCTGAGATCTCCTCCCCTGGAAGGTGGCTTGGATGGAAGATATCTAAGTTACAGAAATGAGAGTCCAATGCTGGAGGATCTCCCTGCTGCTGTTGATTGCCCTGATCCTAGCAGCCAGGCTGGAGTACTTAGAAAGGTGGCAAGGCTTCCAGGAGAAACCAATGAGCAAGGAAAACATGAAACCAACCCTCAGCTTCTTCATTGAAAGCTACAACAATGCTAGCAATGACACCTACTTGTTTCAAGTTGACAAGCTGCTTCGAAGTCAGATACAGGTTTGTGCTTCCATTTCTTTCCATGTGAGTTTCTTGCCAACTCGGACACTTGAGTACAGGCTGTTGCTCAAAGAAGGACCCGAGTAATAGTTCTATTAAATGGACGATGGGTTCACTTGGAAGAGGCATGCTCTAAAGTTGTTTAGTCCCGAGAGTTGCCTTCCTTCTACTTCAAAACGCTACTCTAAAGGTCAGAATGTAACTATAACTGTGACACTTCCTCTAGAGCAAAATGTCCCCTGAGGGTCTCAATTGTTTTTCCTTGGGAAGACTCACCTTCATTCTAAAATGAAGTTCTAGTGCCTAGAGAGATGATACAGATGGTAAGCCATTTGCCTTTCATGCAGCTGAGCTGAGTTTGATCTCCAGCATCTCTGTTAGGATTCCCAGAGCAGTGCTAGGAGTGATCCTTGAGCACATAGCCAGGAGTAAGCTCTGAGCATCTCTGAGTGTGGCCTCAAAAACAACACCCTGCCTCATCCTGTCCATAAATAAAGTTAGATTCTGATAGACAGCAAAGGAGGATATTTCGTATTTATGTATTTATTTATTTTTGGCTTTTTGGGTCACACCCAATGATGCTCAGGGCTTAGTCCTGGCTCTGCACTCAGGAATCACTCTTTACAGTGCTTGGGGGACCATATGGAGATAGACCCAGGGTCTGCCATGTGCAAGACAAATGCCCTACCAGCTGTGCTGTTGCTCCACCCCTGTTTTGACTGTTTATTTGGTTAAAAAAAACAAAAACAACATGTTTTCTGTAGGTTCCCATCAAGAACAGATTTTTTTTTTTGCCTTTTTGGGTCACACCTGGCGATGCACAGGGGTTACTCCTGGCTCTGCAGTCAGGAATTACCCTGTCGGTGCTCAGGGGACGATATGGGATGTTGGGAATCAAACCCAGGTCGGCCGCATGCAGGGCAAATGCCCTACCTGCTGTGCTATCATTCCAGCCCAAAGAACAGATTTTTTTAATGATCAGGGTTGTAAAACTGAAGTCTAGACTTTCTTTTACAGACATCTGTGTTAATGCAGAGGTTTTCTGTGTTCTACACAAATACAGAATTATACAAAGGATTTCTAACTGTGTTTTGTAGCACTATGGATTTACACAGACTACAAATATCTGGAACTACAAGAAGGGCTTTATTCAGAGGGAAACTGGGGAGTAAGGAATAGGCTTCTGCTATATCATCTTTCCTACTTCCTTTTAACATAGAAAATTTTTCAGATATATATCACTTGAAGGATACTAATGCTTAGAAAAGTTGTTTGAAAACAGCTTTTGCAACCTAACCTTCCCTCAAGGTATAAGTAAGACAGAAACAATAATATATCTTAGCTGAATTAACCATCATCTGGACAAAACAATTGGCTTTAAGAAAAGAGCCCAGACTATAGAAAATGGCACAGGACCCGAATCAGCCCTGCACAGGCGTCACAAGCTGGCAGAGCTAAGCGCAGTGAGCCGCAGCGCAGCGGTTCTCAGGCCCTGCTCCCCTCAGAGGCTCGTGGGCACCTCTGGGCGCAGGGTTGCCAGGACTGCCCCTCAGACTGCAGGGACGGGAGTGCTGCGAGCAGCCTCCTTCCCTTCTGGTGCTGTCCAGAGTGCAGGGCCTTCGGTGAGTTCTCGGCACCCAGATAGAAGAGTGAGGCCTGCCAGAGTGCGTCCCTCTCAGTGCAGGCCTCTCCCAACAATGTGGCCACGTGTGTGAGTGCGTATGTGCGTGTGTGTACACGTGTGCGTGTGCATGTGCATGTGTGTCCCTGCCTCTGTGCAGGCCTCTCCTACCAACATGTGTGCACGTGCGTGTGCATGCGTGTGCACGTGTGCGTGTCTGTCCCCTCCTCAATACAGGCCTCTCCTACCATGTGCGCACGTGTGTGCGTGTGTGCATGCATGCATGTGTGCGTGTGTTTGTGTGTGTTTGTCCCCTCATCAGGACAGGCCTCTCCTGCCAATGTGTGCACATGCTTGTATGTGTGTATCTTGTCCCCTCCTCAGGCCTCTCCTACCAACGTGTGCATCTGTGTGTGTGTGTGTGTGTGTGTGTGTGTGTGTGTATGGTTGTCCTTTATTTTCTGTGGGCAACTATATCGCGAATCATGAAACCAATGTCAGATGCTAGGTGCGCTGTTCTCCACGGAAGACTTTACTCACTCTTTGTCCCTGGAATCTCTTTATATTTTGCTTTTGGGGGCTACACCCAGAGATATTCAGGGCTTACTCTTGGCTTTGTGCTCACTCCAGATAGAATTTGAGGGAGCATATGGAATGCTAGTAATAATCCCTGTCAGCTCTTGGGTTGGCTGTGTGAGAGGCCGTTTTACTTCTCATACAACCTCTCCGGCCCTCATCCTGCAGTCTTCATAGCCTTGTGCTTGCACATGAGTAAAAGAAGTCAGATTTCAATAAAAATAGCTTTGGTCTGTAGTTCTCTGTAGGATAACATTGGTTTGTGCTTCCTCCATGGTTGCAGGGATCTTGGGTTGGTTGATTGCTCCTCTAACCTGTTAATTACCTTTGTCTCCTGATCAGACTCTGTTGACTTGTAAATATTGTTTTTCTCTTCTCCTTAAGTCCTTTGCATGGTTAGTGAATTCCGAGCAATTACTTTTTGTATGGACACAGGAAGACAGTTTAAAAGACATGTTTTTGTAACTTGGGAGTAATTGACTCCAGATAATATTACCTCCTGGACATCTGCTCTCTCGACTTGAACTTCAGTTGCCCTTACTTCCTATATCCCCCAAAGCAGGGTTCCAACTAGGGTCTGGATGGACCCAAGGCAAGCTGTGAGCTACCCTGACATCGAAATGGGCCAGGCCAAAGTGCTGTAATACTTAACTAAAAGTTAAGAGCATGGTCATGGACAAATTCTGTCATGATCTAAAAATTAATAACTAGATTCGGACCCTGCTAGGGTTAGGAATGATTAATCTGACCTCAGCATTGTAGTCTGAATCTGTGACAAGATGTCCCCAGGAGAGTTGCCCTACAAGCCTAAATGTATCTATTACTGTGTCCATACAGAATGGCAAATATTAGGAAGTAGAATTAAGATGTTAATTAAGTTACTGGTCTAAGGAGAGGAGAAACACACCTTAAGTGCTGTTTTGCCCTGGTGGGCTGCAGGTGGTCAGGAAACCTGGATAAACACATTGATTGTACTTCCCCAGGGTGGGCAGGGTTTGGCAGGGTGTTGAGAGAAGAGGGAATGGAGTTGGTGGCTGTGAGAGGGGAGTAGGGGAGAGCTGAGAGAGAGAGCGAGAAGAGAACTGGTGGAGTTGGTGTCTGTGGAGAGAGTAGTAGGGCAGAGTTGAGAGGGAACGAGGGGGAGAGGTGGAGAGAGCTATGGAAAGAGTGTTGGAGAGAGCTGGGGCGACTTGAGGGGAGGGTTGTGAAAGTTGTGGAGAGAGTTCAGGAGAGATGAGAGATGGAATAAATGACAAATGATCACCAACCAGCTTGGCCCTCATTCCTCCTTCATCACCCAAGGCAACAGCCATGTGGGGTGGGGAAACGGTTCGAGAACAACGAATGTGGGCAGCAAGAGAAAGACTCCAGGAGAGCCCGCAAACATTAATGTGTGATCACTCCTAGTGTCGCCTGAGCAAAAGTTGTTTGCACAGCCCAGGAAAGGTGTTTACAAAGCCCAGGTAGGGGGTATACACAGCCCTGGAAAGGAGCATATACAGGTCTCCTTGACTTGACTATTGGTTATTTCCATATGTACAAGTTGGAGACTAAAATTTTTCTATCCATTTTCATTTTTTTCTTTTATTTTTTGGGAGCCATACCTAGATGTGCTCATGAATCACTCTTGGTAGGGCTTGGGGACCACATTTGGTGCGAGGGATCAAACTTGGGTTGGCCTTATGGTGCAAGGCAAGTGTCCTATTTCCTGTACTATCTCTTAAGCACTCTACCCATTTTCTAAAAGAGGAAAGCAGACTGCTAAGTAGTAACTCAAGATCACAGCCTAATAGACGGGAATGCATAGCTCAATCCTTTCGATTACTATGCATTTATATGTTAATTTGGGTTAACCACTCAAGTGGTTCTCAGACTACTACTGTCTGGATGCTCAAGGCTCACTTTAGGTGGTGCTTAGGGGGACCGTGTAGTCCCAGGGATTGAACCTGGACCTCCTATGTGTAAAATATGTGCTCTAGCCCATTGTGCTCTCTCTGGCCTTAAGTTCATGTTTTTTTTTTTTAACTGTATGGCTAAACTTTCTCCATAAGATTGGAAAGTAGAGAGGAGGACATGGATGAAAGAATTTACAGAGTCTAGGCATAAGATGTGGATCAACACATTCTGAGATATAGGTGTGCAGACCAGGAATATGGGAGGTCTGAGGTTGCATGTTGCCTTCCTCACCCCCCCAAATGAAAGGGTTACAGGCGTGATCCCTGTGTCTGTAGCAGTTATATTGATCTTGAGCACTGGAATAGTACATCCTGTGATTGACCAGGGGCCTCTATAGCACATCCTCCAGTCTGTGTGTCATGCTTCTAGTTAGACGAGCTCTGGGAACATGACTGACTCCTGAGGATTCACTTTTTCTCTTAGCTTTTCTGAATGCCTAGAGTCAAAATTCTTACTGACATTTCTTCTTGATAGCTGACCACAGGAGTGGAGTATTTGGTTACTGTGAGGATTAGCCGGACCAAATGCAGGAAGGACCAATGGAAAAATTATACTTGCTCCATTCAAAATAAGAAGAAGCTGAAAAAGGTGTGTGGTGATATTCATCTGAGCAGGGACTAGTGATCTAAGGAGGGGAAAGTAAACCTTTTATAAGTAGGAGTCATCTTTGTAGAGTGACAGCTTTTTTAGCTGTGTGTCCTCACCTGAATTGGGACAATCAGGGCTGAGCACAACTTTGAGGATGAGTGGGGCTAGGAGGGATAGCAGAGGTAGGCAAACTCCCCACCTTGGATTAGCACTGCCCCAGGCCTCAGTCATTGGATTCTTGCCTACCTGGTATATTTCCTGGCTCTTAGGTAGAGCAGTAGAGCTTCCTTGAGGCCTTGCTCTGGTCTCAGTTTGCCCTCTCCAGGACTGTGGGGATTTTCCAATTTCTTTAATCTTCCAACCTATTTCTGCCCCCACCCCCAAACACATATTAAACACCATGGTTTATAAATTTTTTATAAAATTTTTCATGATTTGCTATAGGCATTTAATATTCCAACACCAATCCCACCACCATGTCACCTTTTCTCTACCATTGTCTCCAATTTCCCCAACCACCCTTCAAACCTGCCTCCACAGCAGGCCCACAATAATTTATTTTATATCGCTTGTTATCAATAAATGGCTAACATAATGATTTAAAAATGTTTTTATGGAAGAAAATCTGTGAAATTTGTTGTATCTCACCATGGGGACATTAAGTCATTGTCTGAAGGTATATAAAGAGGTTGTTGCAAGTTAAGCCTTCTGTATTAATATTTTTGTTAGTTGAGATTGGTTAGCTTTTGTGTTACATCCCATCCAACCTGGTGTGGTACTACTGGGATGTCAGAGTTCTAGAGTTTGGAGATCCTGAAAATCCAGATATTTAAAACCAGATAATCTGGCTGGAGGCATAGTAATGGTGGAATGTGGATATGGCTGCCAGAGTTTCAGGAAGTACAGGGAAGTGGGAAAAGGTCACCCATCGCAACTCCAAGAAGGTCTGGAATTTTCAGGCAAAAAACCTGTATACCTGAAATTTTGGCAGATTAGGTTCTTTGTAGAGCTTAGTTCAAAGGTGATAGAGTCTAGCTGTAGGCATGGCAGCAGCTTTGGGGGATGGAAGCAGCTTCTGGGGCTCCGATAGAGTCAGCACTGGCCAGCCCCCTCCCAAGAAGTCCCCAGGTCTGCCCCCACTTTCAAACTAATAGATACCAAGATCCCTCCCTATCAAGTGTGGTTTCAGAAGGCATGGAACCGGGCACTGTGCTGCTGCTCCACTCTGCCCAGCCCGATGTTACTCTGAGGATGTGCTGGTGTACCTACTTCTACGGCCAAAGCCCAGAGCATGGGTACCACTCCAGATCCCCACCACATGGGACTATCAGCCTTACCACCCTTGGAGTCCCTGTGCGGCCATAGAAATGGATCCAGACTTCCCAGATACTTTTTGTTCACTAGGCAAAAATGATCCAGAGGGCTCATTTTTTAGTAGGGAATCCAAGGGGTGGGGCCACACCTGGTGGTGTGCAGGAATTACTTCTGGCTATGTGCTCAGGGATCACTTCTGGCAGGGTTTGGGGGATCATATGAGGTGCCAGGGATCAAACCTGGTCAGACGCATACAAGGCAAGGGCCCAGAGTTCTGCTATATCTGCTCCAGTCCTACTGAGAATTAATTTATTTTTTTTTATTCTTCCACAGAGTTACATTTGTGATTTTTTCATTTATACTGTTCCCTGGATGAACTTTTACCAACTCTGGAACAACACATGTATGGATAACTAAATGTGTTTATGCAAAGCTGCTGGATTCATATCATGCACTGAGGTTATAAAACTGAAATGACCTTAATCCTTTCAGCAAGGTTCTACTACACTTTCCTTTATATGTTCACACCCTCACAAGCTTACGCACACAAAAACATTCATTTATATTCGTGCAATGCATGCTCAGAAACACATAAGGTGCTCACTCACACAAACTTTGTGTATCGTTTCTAAAATGGACTCACATTCACTCACTCAAAGATAGAGAAAATATGCATACATAATTACTTAATAGATATTCTCACAATATTAATATATATTCTCACAATCATATATAGACACATTCATACCTCACAAATATACATGCACTCAATATAGTTATTCACTAACACATCAACATGTCATTCACGCAGCACACTAACATGCACTCAAACTTGCATATGTGAATCATACTGATATGTACTCTCACATTCGCGCTCACATGCTCATACAACACATTTAGCACACAAATATGCACTCACCTATAAAGTACATAAAAGCACACACATACTAAATGGTATGTAAGAAGTGGTTGGAATTTGAGAAAATTATTAACTCTCTGGAGAAGCCTTATTATTTATATTGAATCTCACATCTCTCAGACTGTTCGTGATATAGGTGGATCCTGATCTCTGGTCCAAGCGTGGTGGAACTTTATTTCTTCCCTGACACATATCTCTGTGTTAGGCATCCTCTAGACCAACCCTTCTCAGGGATTCACGAGGACTCCAGATCTCAGCATATAGTCTGATACAAAGCTTTTAGTTCTGAGGAAAGGGCAAAGGCATATGGGAACCATTAAAGAGCCAGGAATAAGCCCTGAGCACAACCAGGTGTGGCCCCCGCCTCCCGTTCTTTCAGTTTGTCTTCAGCCAAAAGCAACCCAGAGCATGTATATCAGAGATCCACTGATATGCAGAAATGAAGGTCAGATAAAATTCTAATTAATGCTAGTGTAGGCCAGCACCTTCCCCACACACCTACACACACACAGAGGAAGATAACTTTGGCAGGTGTTGTGTGAATATTCTTTCAGTCTGATGCACTGAGACAAGAGGAATTCTAAATTGGCTCAGAGGGCCACCAGCTCGAGTTCTGGCCTAGTGGCAGAGGAAGAGAGTCCCACAGCCTCTTTTATTTACTATCATATGTATACACCTCTAATGAACTCAGAACAGAGAAGTCATTAACGGAGGAAAATGGGATTACAGGAGGGACATCAAGACATCAAAGCATACTTTGTTCTGTAGAGTCTGTAAACCAAATGGTCAAGTCTCTGGGGAGGAATGCAAGGCTAAGTAAGATCTCAGGCTCTCACACCTCCTGTGACAAGAGCAATGAGAGGGTGTCTACATTTCAAAGCTAAGCTAGGATCTGTGAGAAAGGGAAGATTGCTTCTAGGAGTTAGATTAGGGCCAAGACAGCTGAGGGAAGAAATGTTAACCCTTTCTAGGTCAATCAGATTCACAAGTTATCTCTTGTCCACTCGTGAGTGGGGTCCAAGTTTCTGCCGCTTTTGGGTCAGCCTCTGAGGACCTGGCTAGGCACCACCTATAACCTGGGTCAGCCTCCTATAACCTGGCTAGACACCATGAGCAGGAACAAAAGATTGGAATAAGAACGAAGAAGATCATCAAACATTCCAGGCTTTTCTCCTTGACAACACTCTAGCAACAGATTCTTACCTATACAAAAAACCTCAAGTGAGGGCAGTTTGGGAAGAACCTGTAAAAGTTACACTGCAGAGGCAAGTGGAAAACAATTTTCGTTTTTTGTGGGGGGGAGGGGGGGGGAGAGAGTTTCCTGCATCTTAACTTCTCAACTTGAGATGTATATTCTTGGTGTTTTGTTCTTTGGAGAATTTTGCATTATCTGTAAATGTATCTCTCTCTCTCTCTCTCTCTCTCTCTCTCTCTCTCTCTCTCTCTCTCTCTCCTCATATTTCCTGAATAAAGATAAAGATGCCTCACTGATTGTCTCCCTTCTGGAATTATTTTTCTGGGAAAGTTAAAAATGACCTTGAACTTGGGTCAAGATTGTCTACCCTTGGGGCAGGAGCAATAACACAGCGGGTGGGGCATTTGCCTTGCAAGTGGCAGACCCGGGTTCGATTCCCAGCATTCCATATAGTCCCCTGAGCACTGCCAGGAGTAATTCCTGAGTGCAGAGCCAGGAGTAACCCCTGAGCACCCCCAGGTGTGACCCAAAAAGGAAAAAAAAAAGATTGCCTACCCTTTCCTTGTAAAGTGTGAGAAATCATTTCCCCTAGCATGAAGCCCCAAGAGTGAGATCTACCCCTAGGTAAAATAGTTTAGGTATTAGAATGCAAAAGGTTCTCAATTATGTGCCCAAGCAAGATTAATAACAGGAAAAGTAGAATAGATTACAAATATCTGTCAGCTGCAAAATGCACCAGGCAAGCATCAAATAAGACTGGGGTCTTTTAGAAGTAGGGGCAACATAGATAACAATAGACTACCATGACTTTACTCTGTACTTTTTTCTGATTAGCTCTGTGAAATACCCCAGCCTCAGGTCTTCATGGGCCTCTTGTATGTTAATGTCTCTGTCAACTCAAACAATATCAGCCCTGGTGGTGGTGGTCATGGCATGGGGGGAGGGTGTGGGTGGGGGAGGCAAAGATAGTATTGAATAAATAGCTAGACTGTGAGACCACTCATGGCTCCTCAGGTGACCCTAAAGCTTGGACAGTCTGTGAATGTTTGTTTATCGCATTTTCTGCAACAAGCATCGCTGGCTACAGGACCTGTTGGCAGGATTCACTACAGCAAACAGCAATTCCTTCTCTGATAACGCAGGTGGTGAGGACTAGCTGACATGCCATGGCGATTAAGTTGCTTGCAGTTGCAGTTGATGACTTCCCAATGAGGCTGGTGGGATACAAGTGCACACATCATGTGGGACATAAGTGTCCATGCCATGTAGGTGCTTATGGAAATGGCTTTATGGAAGTCATTTATGGAAGTCATTTATGGAAGGCTTTATGGAAGTGGCTTTATGGAAGTGTTTATGGAAGCGGCTTTAGGGAAGTCAGGCACTTCCCTGGGTGGCTGAGGTGGGTCCCAGTAGTAGGATACCCTCTCTCTCAAGGCTGTACTTCCTTTGCTCCCCACTTATATCTGTTATCTGCATGAGCCATTATAACAACATGAGCAATTTCAAAGTGAAGAGAAAGTGCACAAACCAGGAACTTAAAATTTCCCAAGAGGCCTAAAGTAGAAGGAAAGGTGTAAGTAAAGAGTTAAATTGTGAAATACTGACATAAAATGAGAGATTTTGGAAATATTCCAACACCCTGTGCCACTAAGGATCAATGACACCTGACACGGGTTGCTGTCCCACTAGCTCAGTCATCATGAAAACCCTGCGCAAGGTTTCACTCCTCTAGAGCTAAGGATGTCTCCTTAGCTTTCCTTAGCAACTGTTTGATCGAGTTTTCTATATTAGATATCTGTTATTTCCATATCTTGGCCATAGTACTAAGCCCAGAAAAAAAGAATAGGTATGTGTATATTCCTTAGAATTAATGGTGTGTGTGTGTGTGTGTGTGTATCTGTCTCTGTGTCTGTGTGTGTTTTGTGAGTATCAAGAAGTGATATTGGAGGGTTATGTGGGATTTCTATTAATTTCTTGAGAAATCTCCATATTGCTGTCCATAGAGGTCGAATCAGAGAACATTTCACCAACAATAAGTGATGGTTTCTTTCTCATTACATCTCAACCAACACGTTATTTCCAGATTTTTAAAAAGTTTATTGATAACAGGTAAGACATGATTATTGTCTTAGTTAATATAAAGATCCAAATATAAAATAAAATTTAATACAATATATTTTAGATTTCAGAGTTGAAAACTTATTTATGTAAAATAATAAGTTTTTTATTATAGTGTATTAAATGGTCTTAATTACTTTATTTGCATAGGTGAAAATCAGAGTAATCACATATTGGCTTTCACTGATTTTATTTTTTTTAATTTTATAAAGGGCTGGAGCAATAGCACAGCAGGTAGGGCATTTGCCTTGCATGTGGCCAACCCAGGTTCGATTTCTCCATCCCTCTCAGAGAGTCCGGCAAGCTACAGAGAGTATGCCGCCCACATGGTAGAACCTGGCAAGCTCCCCGGGGTGTATTTGATATTCCAAAAACAGTAAAAAACAAGTCTCACAATGGAGACGTTACTGGTACCCACTTGAGCAAATCAATGAACAACAGGAGGACAGTGCTACAGTGCTATTTTATAAAGTTACTCACAATAATATATTATATTCAATGTTTCAACACCAATACCACCACCATTACACCTTCCCACCACCATTATTTCAAATTTTCTCACCATCATCCAAACCTGCTCCAAAAGCAGCACTCTAGCACTGTCCTCCCGTTGTTCATCGATTTGCTCGAGCAGGCCCAGTAACATCTCCATTGTGAGACTTGTAGTTACTGTGTTTGGCATATTGAATATGTCACGGGGAACTTGCCAGGCTTTGCCGTGCGGGCATGATACTCTTGGTAGCTTGCCAGGCTCTCCAAGAGGGGCAGAGGAATCGAACCTGGCTCAGCTGGGCTGACTGCGCGCAAGGCAAACGTCCTAACGCTGTGCTATCGCTCTAACACTTGTTATTAGGAAGGAAGGAAGGCCCTCCCGTTGATCGTCGATTTGCTCGAGCGGGCCCAGTAACGTCTCCATTGGAGACTTTGTTGTTACTGTGTCTGGCATATGGAATACTCTCGGTAGCTTGCCGGGCTCTCCGAGAGGGGTGGAGGAATCGAACTCGGGTCAGCCATGTTGGCCGCTTGTAAGGTGAACGCCCTACCCGCTGTGCTATCGCTCCAACACTTGTTATTAAAAACATATAAATTACCTCAACAAGGTAGGAGTAACAAACCATTCATAATTTAGTAGCGAGCAGCCGTAAGGGCCATGAATGACTGCCAAACTCAAGGCCAAGCCTGAGA